ACGCATAAACTGAAAGCTGGAATTGCCTATTATCACGTACATACTGTTGGTTTAGTATATTCGAACATTTTTTATTAATATCTGACACCATGTACATGTACATGTATATGTTATGAACACCATATATTATATCTTATTGGATTCTTCTGAGCCCAATATGGCAAAATATTAAGTCGAGACTTCAATATTGGGCGAGACCGAAGGTCGAGGCTAATATTGAAGTCGAGACTTAATATTTTGCCATATTGGGCGAAGATGAATCCAATAAGAGTTTTATTATATCGAACAAAACAATTCTATAACAAAAATTTGTCAAAAAGCGATAAAGTAAAACAGCGAGATTAATACAGCGACAACATTATTACATATATCGGCGGCGAATTTTTAAATAACTAAACAAAAAGTTAATAAACTTGTTTATACAAATATGTGTGTATGAATAAATTCAATTCCATGTATGTTTAAAGGAAATTTGACCTAATTTTAACGAAAAAAATAATATTACTAACCTCGAGGCTGTTGCAAACAAATGAATTTCGCGAAGACAAGTTTTCCCGCGCTTTTATAATTTTAAACAAAACTGGTAGAAAAATCTGTATTAATGTCCCAAATTCTTTACATTATTCTGCCATATTGCTTGTCGTATGTTTAAAATTGACAAAACATCCGAAAAGGGTTGAAAAACCATGAAAAAAGCCACGATTCGCAACTATCCAATAGGTTCCAGTCCAATATCGTAAAATATTGGATCGGCACGTGACCCTCTCAACGATTACTGATTGGTTAAGTGCGCGTGAGTGTATAATAAAAACACAAATCATCGCTGCGCCTCTTTGCTGAAAGGAACAATAAACGAACTCGGATAAGAACATCGTTGAACAGTGGTTTAAACCGATTTCACAAATCCACACAAAATACAAAACTGTATATTACAGTTAGTGGAAAAGAGAAATACAATCATATTAACGCGAGATGTTCAATGTTATACCTCAAACTTTATAGAAAGGACGAATCAGGACGCATTACCAGGGTTAATAAAATCCTTTTACGTCAGAATATAATCCTAAATATGCGTACACCAGTATCTATTTTTGCCGAGCTAATACTATTTTTATACCCCGAGTACGTATTTTTTCCAATGGTACCGACGAATACCCGAAGTATAACGCCCCTTCCTGCACGTTCCGTATGGGCTCTATTGTATTCGGACGTCCACAATGTATTAAAGATTACAACACCTTCCCACGGACGTTATCAATGATATTGCATTGGTAGGCCAAATGTAGACATGCATCATTTGATTATACCATATCTGCGCAATATAGTCGCGTTTTATTATTTTTTCATTAGCATGTTACAAGTGATTGTTCAGAAGGTATCAGCAAGAAGAAAACGAAACACTGCAGATCTTCCTGACCCGATTCTTGGATATGACAAGGCGAATTGTGAAGGAAAGTCAGAATGTTATTATATAACAGCCGAGTTGCCAAATGAGGAAAAAGACTTTGTAGTTGGTGATGGTAGAATGTATGGCATTTATAAGAACGCTCAACTTGAACCTGACACTAAATATAACATTTATGTCAGAGGACTTTCATACAACAATGATATTCCTAAGGTAGGTTATTTCTGTCAGCAAATATACCGACAATTGTCATCATTAAATTAGAAGATCTAATCCAGCTATATACATGACCTATGATGTATGATGTATGTGCCGTAAACAAAACATATGTATGGTACTGTATCTATATTTCTCGTTTATCAGTGATCCACTGTAGCCTAGTGTATTTCCCTATCATGCCGATTCTATTCATTCACAGCCGCGAAATTCTCTTTCTAAACTTTCTTTATTTTTCTTACAGCAAGCTAATTATGGTGAGCCATCTGCAGCATTACAAATATCAACACCAGGTATTGCATTTAAATACAAGTTTAAAACACATGCAGATTTGAAGATTATTGTTTCATTTCATTTTCACGAGGATTTAAAATTCTCCATTTTATACGACCATGACCTTCTAATTTATCAGTTTAGAAACCTGCAGTAGATTGAAGTGAACGCCTATGTAGTTTTAACTCGCAGAGAAGTGCTTTATAATAGCAACTGGAGTCTTGCTGTTGCCTAGTACTGTATGACCGTCGGCTTTTGGCAAATCAAAAATATATTCATTACATTAGTTTATTACATTAGCAAATCGATTAATGGTATAAACTGGAATTAACAGACTACTATTCTTATTACGGAGAGAATATCCCGTATCGTGCGGAGAGAGTATCCCGTGTCGGAGGAACAAGCGATTCAAAACATATCTTGCAGATTGTCGCTCTTCGCTCAAACACTGACAGACGCAGCAATCATATATAACGTCATTACTAAAATCATAGTTTATATTTTATTCAAGTTCGAGCGACGAATGAAGGGAGCAATGGTAGCGTGGTTGGCATTGCAGTTGGTTTGACTGTACTTTTTATCGTGCTTATTGTTCTCTCTCTGCTGGCAGTTATTTATTTCAGGTACAGCTTTCACATTTCTCCAACTATAAATTTTTACATTTTTGGAATTATTTTAAGCTTCCTGCTGCTCCTATCTATTTTTGTAGAACTAATTATTCGATAATTTTCATGCTGAGCAATGTGATTTTGTCGGTGCGACGTTTTCACGTTTTCCGCATTCGACGACATAAAATCACATCGCTCAGAAGATGACACTGTGCCTTTAAGAAGATATATCTATACATTATTGTCACATATTGTCATAATGTCATGAACGACCTTTCTTTGGGTAGTCTACTTGTTTTCTTTCCATTCACCTTCTGTATTGTTACATGTTTAATTATTAGTTAAGGGTTTAATTTATGATATTAGAGAGCACTACCTCTCGGAAACTTAACAAGCACTTGATTGGTTTTTCGGGTAGAATAAATGCATCTGATTGGTTAAGCGTAGCGGAAGTGAAGTCAAAATATGAACCCCTCTATCATAGCATGACATATTAGTTTCCCTGTGGATTTGTGTTTTGTGGAAACGCCACATTTATAATTAGCTATTCCCCAATCGAGCAGAGGACTGGGTCTAGTTGATGTTTGGAGGGACAATTAACAATTATTCGCCGAAGGCGAGGTGATTATCGGCGAATATTCGCCGAGACGAAGTCGAGGTGAATATTCCTCGATAATCACTGAGCCTGAGGCGAATAATTGTTTTAGTATTTTTGTGTTTCTTGGGACTGAATTTATTTTAATTTCGCTTATTTCTTTATCAGTATAACGTCCACAATACGGCTAGCCTCCATTTTGAAAATTTCGGTTTTGTTATATTCACCTGTAGGTGAATATAACAGCTTAATACGTCAAATTTGACCAATCAACTTGTAGGATTTGTTATGTTCACTTGTGCAAAAATACTAACAAGTTATAGTGAGCGAGCTAAATATATATTAAAAGATGCCTTATTATAATTGTTGCATTTCAGGCTGCACAAATAACTTTAGGAATGTAGGAAAACTACCTAGATGGCATATTGTTTATTTTTTCCCCTCCAAACAAGCGACTAGACCCAGTCCTCTGCTCACTTGGGAAATGCTAATTGTTTGCTCTGTTTTTCAATAGATTCTTGGGCATGGGTAAAAGTCAGTTCCTCCAGGACAATGAAATATTAAGTAATGATGATTATTTCTCGTTGTTTGATAGATCACGACGACCTAAAACAGTTGAAATAGATCCTGAGACTGGAGAGAAGAAAGGACGAAAGAAAAACATTAATTCAGAATTACTGCCCTTGACAAGGAAAGGACATGGTGAGTTTGATTTTTTTTGAAATATGAATAAGTGCCATTTCAACCTCATTTGACAAATATCAAAAAAGGTCATTGCTTTTTGTGATATTTTTGTAAATGGAAATGGAACAGCTGAAAAAATTATAGTTAAATAACTGTGTAACAGATCTTGTTTTCCACCATGAAATTAAAGCAAGGCTATAAATTAATTAAGTAAACTAAACATTGCGTGGAATTTAAGGCAACAAAATTAAAAGAACTGAGATTTGGAGCAACAAAAGATAGATGACTCGTATGCAGTGCTGCTGCATGGGGCAGGGGGCATTTGTCCCTGAGCCCCACCTCCAAAGTGGCCCCCAAAGCGACGAAGTCCCTTAAGTCTCTTGACACACGATTGCTTAACTGAGAATATAAATCCTCGCCGTGTCAGTACCGGAAAGTGCATTTACATATATGATGTAATGGGGGAACACGGAACCCATTACATCATATTTTCAAATATAAATATGATGTAATGGGGGAACCCGGGAACGTTTTGCCTCGGGCCTCGCGCAACCTTTCGGCTGCCCAGGTCAAATTTTGACAAGCTAATATCGTTGTTCCGCCACTGTGTGTAGTATGGCAGTGCATGTGGTTCATAATACTGACTGTAGTAATTTCTTCTCTCATTTAATCATCAACCACTGAGAACACTTTCAGTAAAATGAAATTGTACCAGTCTGAACCACTGAACTCATTGTACAAATAACATACGGTCGATATCTTTCATTTAGGGAAAAGGAAAAGTGGTCAAGTGGAAGATGGTATCCCAGATCCAAATCATCCACCAGTCCCTACAGCTGGCTTTGCAAAGTATGTCGGGAAGCTTCATAAATCAGATGATCGTGGATTCATGATTCAGTACAATGTAAGGATTTTATTTCAATTTTTTTGTCGATCAAGGAGTAGAAAGATTTTCTGTCTGAACTTTTCCTCTGAAGCAATTTTAAATATTTAAACTAGCAGGTCAAATAAACCATTATTTTTCGGAGGAAATTGTATATACCTCTTCTCAAAAATGCCTCTTGTAATATCGAAACATCAATATTTTCGGACGTCACTAAACGCTGCCTCAAATCAGGTGCGATCCCGAAATGGGTTACACTAGTTCCCGGCGCGTTTTTGGATGCATGACGCGTACAGAACGCAAATTGGAATACATTCGTAAGAGGTAATATCTGAGCAATACTGCATGTAATTTAGTAGAGCTGTTCTCGTTGGCAACACTACTGAATGTTTTACTCAATATATTGGGGCGCCTAACACATGGGTTATTACGGACCGTTACAACTATAAGAATATCGTGTTGCGCGGCTGCACGAGTCTTAAAGCTAATATATACATCTTAATATTTTAGACCTTGGAAACTAGTCAGACGTATACCAGTGAAGTTGCTGCTTCTCCAGAAAATAAGGAAAAGAACAGATACGCTAATATTGTGGCTTGTGAGTATTGTTGATTTACATTCGCTTTGCCGTAATGAATATTATTATATGGCTTTTCAAAATTCTCTATTCTGATTGGTTGACAAGCGGTCCGTAAAAACCCATATCCGGACCGTGGTCCGTATTTTCCGTATCTGGTCCGGTGTCCCGGATGTCGTTTATCTGGCGGGAAATTTTTGCTTTGCAAACAGAAAATATTTTTGCTTTGCAAACAGAAAAAATTTTTGCTTTTTAAATTTCCAATTGTGCTTTACAGATAAAAATTTCAAACAACCAAATTGTTTTTGATTGAGCATGCATGCCTACCGTATATTGTTACCCAGTGAAACTGACGATAGCCGATTTAATTCGCGCGAAAAGCATATGCTCACAGACTCAGTTCAGCCATATAATAAACCGATTATTGACCTCGCTTGTTCGGTCTGTACTGTGAAATATCAAACCTCTGTTTTTTGCATGGACCTCGCTCCTTCGTCGCTCGGTCCATACTAAAAAACCTCGGTCTGATATTTCACAGTACAGACCTCACGCTCGCTCAATAACCCTTTATTATTCGTTTGTTGAGCATTAACCATGGTTCACAAATGGAAAATTGTAATCTTTGAGTCACTAAGTATGTCTTCTGTATCGTACTGCGGCTCAGCTCAAAGTTTCTTGTTCCTTGTTTTTTCCCAAACGACGACAGTCATTATAAGCCTTTACTGTGATGTACGTGCATCTCTAGGCTTGGTAGATTGCAACTAGCGGCCGTCCATTCAACTGGTGAGACGTGAGTGGTGAGCCAAAGGTTGTACAAATACTGAATTGTAAGTCCTATATCAGAGGAATAGTTCTAGACTTTGCTAAGTTCTAAGTTCGTTATATCGTTATATCTTATCAGTTGCAATCTCGGGGTGAAATATTCTGGGTGGGAATGTACTGTACGCCTCCTTCATCTCACCCTCCAACCCGTTCTTCAATCCTACCTTTTGCAGCTTTGGCTTCGAATGCAACGAAAACCGCCTTGCTAAATCTTAAAATGATGCTGTTATTATGTTCTGGTGTTACAAACTTGCATTTCCACTTGTAAGCCGCACTAATCTAGATTTTGTGTTTTGTGTGCATCTATAGTCTATTCAGGACTTCTCTCTTAAGCTATTTGTGTAATTCGTAGTTACTAAGGATAGTTTTAAAGATAATTCATGAATCTGACGAGAGAGTGTTGGTAAACATAACGGATTGCAATAGGTATTCTTAGTGAATGATTTATTAGAAAGAAAATTATCGTTTAGATGATGTTTCCAGAGTTCATATGAAACAGATTGACGATGATGACAATTCAAGTTACATCAATGCTTCTTTAGTAGATGTAAGTTCTAATTTTCACTTCCTTATTCAGTTCCACCCAGAATCTTCAACTAATATCTAAAAGAAGATATAAAAACGAAAGTGTGTTTTTCTGTTCTGGGCATATTACTTGACATTGTTAATATAATTTTAACATATTTCTTTATTTTAGGGATACAACTCGGCTAATGCATATATAGCCACTCAAGGTATTGAGGAAATATGATATCTTTATGTTTTAACTTCAATAACTGAACATACGGTATACTGGCAGTTCGTTTTCACGTGACAACGCAATATCATAAAATTATCATTAATTACGAGTATTAATAAAAAATGTTCCGTCGATACAATTATTTCTCCATAAATGTTTGAAAAATATATTGTTGACGTCAGGATTATTTTCAAAGACGGTTGAAGCTATGTTACACACGTATTTATCATTAAGTTTGGAAGACAAGTATACCTTCTAATCCAACCTTAAAAAGCATGATATATAACATCCAACTTTGTAAAATAGAAATTTTAGAATTTTCTGACGTCATGTGAAAACGATCTATTGATGATGTCGAAATAATCGTGTATTTGTTTTCTCTAGGGCCACTTCCTAGCACATTTAACGATTTTTGGCGAATGGTATGGGAGAAGAATTGTTCATCCATTGTTATGCTTACTAATCTTCAAGAAAGACACAAGGTATTAGGATTTCGCTTTTTCATATTTTTGAGAAAGAATGCAATATTTTGAAAAACTACGGTATATAATGGAAATACAGGAGAATTAATCGTGTTTATTTCGATGTCTTCGCCACGATGATCGTTTGTTTTATTTTTACTGTTCGTCTTTGACTCGCGGTATTTTAAATTAGCTGGGTTTTTCCCCTCACTATTAGAACTTGTGCAAATGTTGAGTTGTTTTCTTTTTGTTGGGGGAGGGTGTGGTGTTGTTTAAATGTGTCTTTTTGTTCCTGATTTATGCCACAGGTTAGTGTTTTAGTGTGGGTGGTCCAGTGTAATGTTTTCAACATAATTAATGCTTATAACATAATTATAATTGTCGTGTACTCTACTTGACTACTTCCCCTCCCTGTAATCCTAACTATAATTGAAAACAAAACTATAAACATTCTTTATTTGTTCGTTTAGTTGAAATGTCATAAATACTGGCCTGAAGAGTCAGAGACGTATGGTCAGATCACTGTGACAGCGACACGAAGAGAACAGTATGCTGATTATGTGATTCGAACCTTCCTTTTGAAGATAGTACGTGAAAATGTAGGAAGCGATCCAACCTTTACGCGGCGAATTATATTTCACTAACCAATCAATCAATCATATTGTTTGAATTTGTTTTTTCTTTTCTTTTGGATACTTATCTCGTACGTATGATCCAGACTTTGGACTTATACTTATTCTGATTGCGTAGTAAAGGGGGGCCGTAAAGAGAATCATTATAACATTGCGAAAATGTTTTTTATTCAAATGACTTGACTTGTTTGTATCATATATCGAAGTTAACCATTGCAAACGTGTATATCAGGCTATATCAAATTTTAACATTTTTGATCATTTATAAATGCAATCTTGTGCTTCATGCTGTTCTTGATTTTTCTAGAGTGAAACAGAAGAAGAACGTGAGATCAAGCAATTCCATTTCACCGTGTGGCCAGATCATGGAGTGCCCGAATATCCGACAGCTATTCTCGCTTTCCAGAGACGTGTACGTGCTTATAGTACTCGTGATTCTGGACCATTAGCCGTACATTGCAGGTAGTTGTCAAGACACTGTCAAGTCTGTTCTTCAAGTTCGCCGATGATATTTGTGTTGTACCGTATAATCCTTTTTGATGTTTTTTGCACCAGTGCAGGGCCTTTTGAAAGGACTTTCCCGGGGGGGGGGGTGATTTCGTGGGAAGGGGGGACTGTAGTGTAAGTCGACTCGTGTACAAAGGCCCGTTTACAAATGGGCCTCTTCAGTTTCGTAATTTCCATTTCAGGTCATGTGATTTATACTTTTTTCACCCTTTGACTTCATGCATTTTTCATTCATATTCAAATATAGAATGCATAAAGACAAAAAAGTATTAAAAAATGTACACATCACATACGAAGCTGAAGAGGCCCATTGCAATGTTAAAAAAGTTGGGTTTACATGGTCAAAAATATCCTAAATGAGGCTGGAAAAGCCAACATCACAGTCTAGCTATGTGTAATAATTTATAATTTTATATCTTTCACCTTTCTATGTTATAGTGCTGGTGTTGGTCGTTCTGGTACATTCATTGTAATTGATTGTATGTTGGCTCGAATACAAAGTGAACAGACTATCGATATATATAACTATGTGAGATATCTGAGAACGAGAAGAATGTTCATGGTCCAAACTGAGGTAATACTACAGATCACCATGTTCTCGTAAACGAAAAATACTACTCCTTGATCTTACTCGCTTATTTCCAAATATTTACAACAGAATTTATTCGACAAAGGCCTAATAATTATCGAAAAAAGGAATTTATTCCTGCTCGACGGCCTTGGCCATTTCGAATATTTTGTTCAAATTCGGTTATACAAGCTCCTATTCTCCTTTATTATTAAAATTTTCGCGAATCTGAACGAGATCGAGGCTAGAAATTAAAACTTTACTAGGATCACATTGTCAGCCTCAAATTCAAGCTATTGTTTTGAGTGCAAATTCGCGAAGTGTCTACCCAAGGTTTCCAACAGAATTTTGAGTAGGAGGCGTTTTGAAAGTAGTGGGTAGTGGGGGGGGGGGGTCTATGGTGGTGGAGGTACCGTCCACCTAGGGGGTCCGAAATCTTTTGTGAAGGTTTTGAAATTTAGACCCGTTGCAATGGTATTTCCAGCCATTTTGGAGAGTTATTTTGGAGATTTCGTCATATTATACCCAAAAGTTCAAAATATGAAACATTCTTCACATTTCTCTGGTAAGAAGGAAGTAATTTCGCGAAACAACCAGCGATTGTCTACGTCATACTATTGTGCTTATATTGAGGACGCTACTGTTGAACTCTATCCTTTAGTTTAGGACTAATGCATTCTAACATTGAATACCATTCAATATTTTTAATTCTTCTGTGTTTTAGGAGCAGTATGTGTTTTGCCATGATGCTCTCTTAGAATCTATTTTGTGCGGTAATACACAAATGGCCGCGCATAATTTACGTATAGAGATGAACAAATTAAGACAAAGAGATGCAACAACGAAATTGACTGGCTTTGAATCCGAATTTAAGGTAAATAGTTACTATACCTGAGGATTCATCATGTAAAAATTTGAGTACTACTGTTGATCTTTTATATACATCCTACCAACGTAGATTATGTTAATTTTTTTAGTGTTGACTATAGCATTTCGTTTTTCAGCTAATCGTGTATTTTTCTTTCTAGATATTGAATAAAGTCAGTCCTTCTTTACCAAAGGAATCATTTGTTGTTGCGTCCTACCCAGAAAATGTTTCTAAGAATCGTAACCAAGACATTCTTGCCTGTGAGTAAACTATTATTTCAAGGTGTACTTCAATTCCGATTCACTGCATCGTGACTGGATGGCACCATTGTTATCCTATGTGTTGTGCAAAGGGTGCATTATTTGGAATCTAGCTACACACGCATCTTGTGTTTCCTATAATCATGCCACAAATTTACAGAAAAGTTTAAACCATTATTGTGAATGTATAGTTGTAAGAAAATACTGTTTTTCCATGCTGAAAAAGTCGCCAGAAAACGACTCAATTCAGGAATTTCAGTTTGTTGTAAAATATAGACAATCCCTACAAAACGATAACTTCCTAACATGTACAACTTATGCTCATTGTACTACTGTAATCATGTTTTGATTGCGTTTTCTTTTGCACAGCTGATCATGGTCGAGTCATTTTGGGTGGCGATGACGACAAGGAAGAAGGCCCTTATATCAATGCAGTTTATCTTGATGTAAGAAATTATGCTCAGTTTTTTATCATACTTTTTTTTCTGGGTTCAAGTAGGTCTAATAGTTTATGCCCCCGCGGTCGTTTAGACTGGAGGCAGGGAGATGTCATGTCACTATCGACAATAGTTCTTTATAGTGTGATGACTTGACGTCTAATCACGAATGAATTCGACTATATATAAATATAAAATTAATGTATTTTATAAGTTTGACTTTATAATCTCATTAATAATTTATGATGAAATTAGCCAACCATATAACTTTATTTTGCTCACATGATGATCCTAGATACCTGCATGGTGAAGTATATTGATTCATTTTTACGACTGGATAAAAATGACTTTAGTCCTAGGACTGGATCAGGATTTTGTTTCCCACATTTTGGTGGTTGCTCTTACTTGTTCTTTTATAACCTCGTCCTTACATTTTATATACTAGCTAGTATAATTTTTATTTATACTAGGTATAGTATAATTTCCTGCTGTAAAGTATCAAAATGTTTCACAAATTATTTGGCATGGCAAAATTTCCATCCTTAAGAAGATATAAGTAGATATATGATGATTATTGCATGGTTATTGCATTAAGTTTGTAATCCTAACTGCATGTTTCATTTTTAGGGTTACAAGCAACAAAATGCGTTCATTTTAACTGAAGCTCCACTGAAAGATACAATTAAAGTGTTCTGGCAAATGTTGTATGAAAAACATTCTGCTTGTGTTCTTCTTTTGACCAATCTCACAGAGGAAGAAGGCGTAAGTTCCACTTGAAAATTACCATCAGTTTATTTTGGAGGTTTAGATCGGTATAGGCCGGTCGTCAGTACTCGTAAGTCCATTTGTCATAAGTTAATTTTAACACCCTCGTACCCAGAATACCTTCCTTATGAGAAAATACTCATTTTGGGCATTGAAGAGAGGAGTGCAAAGCTGTGTAAATCTGGCAATTTTGTAATAAGTGATAACTACGGTCCAGGATTTACGACAGCTGTCAAAATAACTGTCAAAACATGAATTATGGGAAGCCTAGCCATAGCACAACACTGTTGTGTCTGTACTCGCATATAGGGAAAGTACTCTGTTGCCATTTACACGTGAACATCGAGTGATTAATTCTCCATGATTAGTTCGCGTTTGGGTAATAAAATACAGAGTCAAACCTATAATAGTTTTGTTTGTGGAAACACTTTTATTACTGCAAAGCTTTCGATCCGTAAACCCGGATTTGTTGTGAACCAAGTTAGTTCTGCTTAAAGAACACGTTTAGGCAAATTTATTAATTTTTATCTTGAATACAGGATTTCCCTCAGTTCTGGCCTGATGAAGGATCTGAGGAATATGAAACGTTCAGCGTTGAGCTGGTGTCAGATGCATCAAAAGGTGATACTGGAAGTGAAGATCAATTTCAACAAGAGAAACTGAGTGAAGATATCGTAGAAAGAAAATTCAAGTTAACCAAGGTGTGTGGGAGATCTTTTGACCGTATTCTCTGATTCGGGTTTAATAGCTCTTTTTTGTACACCTATTTGTAAGCACTTGCATGCCCGTTATGTTGCTTTTGATTATTGTTAATAATTAACATTTGCAAAAGCTTTATTTATCTCATGAAAATAATTTTTCCAAGGAGGAAGACAAGTCGCTGGCAGTTAAAATGTTTCAACATCTTTCATGGACAGAAACATCAGTTCCCACAGATATTTCTGAAATTATCTCCTTGATCCAGCGTATTGAAAAATGGCAACAGCATTCTGGCAATGGTCCCATAACCATTGTTTGCAAGTACGTTATTTTTGCGTCATACTTCATATGGCATGTCTATTAGTATTTATTTGATTAAACTTTACTGCATTCGAAAGTTATATTTAACAAACATAAACTATATGTAAGAAAGGAATAGAAACGAACTGAAATGACCAACTGAAATGACAAAATTAAATTAAAATTAGCCTAGTACCAGGCCTTCCCGTGTGACTGAATTGGTTGCAAAATCATTGTTAAGGCCGATTTGCACTACACATGCACAATTTTTTCCTAAAACTGCTAAACAACGTAGTTGAGTTGTGTGCTTGATTTACACAGTACAACTGTAGTTGTAAGCAGGTTGCATGCGACAGGTTTAAGCAAAAGTTGTGTAGTGTAAAGCCCAGGACATACTGCACAACGATAACGATGCGATAACTTGTAAACACGTGATGATTGGTAAAACGATAAAATTATTGTTTGACGATAACGATATCGTTTGACGATAAATTATCGTTTGATGATAACGAACTTGATGAAAAGCTATACGTTGGGAAACCATGTAGACTTTATATGTAAAAAGGCTGGGGCCGGCATTGGAATTATGAAAAGGGTAAAATAATTTGTACCATATGAATCCTTACAAAGAATATATAATTCTCTGGCACTGCCATATTTTGATTATTGCTCACCGTTATGGGATATTGCTGTGGAAGTTGGTTGAAAGAGAAACTGCAAAGCAAGAATTATGACAGGGGTCAACTAAGTCATCCGATTTGCCCGAAGCCTTGTCATGAAAAAATCTCAACCATAGACATAAATTAAATAAATCTGTTTTGGTTTATAAAATACTGAACAACCACTCTGCCCCTAATCTACGAGATAATTTATTCCAAGAAGTGAAAATAATCTTAGAAATGCCTGCACCAATCTTACAATAGCTGTAGGCCTGATACAGATTATCTCAAAAAAGGTTTATGTATAGTGGGGCTGTGTTATGTAAAACAGTTTGCCAGTTTGTCAATTGGTGATGCCTTGAAAAAACTAATCAGCTATTAGGCATTGAGTCAGGTATCTTCTTTCTACGATATTTACAATTTTATGACATTTGTATTAATTTAGATTTAGATTAGTGTGTTTATTTGTTGTAACAGTCTTAGCGTGACGGCGCTCATGAAAATCATCTTGTAGATGATTGAAGGTAGCGTGGTAAAATAAAGTTTTAAATACTAGTTAAAACATGAGCAGCCGATCTTTATCTGATATACAAACTCGAGCCGAAGGCGAGAGTTTGTATATCAGATAAAGATCGGATGCGTTGTTTTAACGTGCTTAATGTAAAAAACGACCCATCTTCTGAGTTCATTGGCGAAGTAATTTTAAAATCATTCTTTTGTATTTTCCTCATGAATTATTAATGAGTTTTTAAATAATAATAATAACGATTTTAAAATCGCTCACCCAAGTCTGATGATAACGATAAATTTTTTGACCAATCAGCGCGCGTTACAAGTTATCGTTGTACTAGACTTGCTCCAAGTCTCTCTTTCATTGTCATATAGTATCGATCCACTATAGTGTACATTACATGACGTAGCACGGAGGGGCGGAGCGAGAAAGAGAGACTTGCCAACTTCGGAAAATTTCGGTTCAAAACTGAACCGAAAATGCAAGACTTGCTTTAATTGTTTTCTGTCAGTGTTTATATGTATTGATCTAGCAAATAATACAGAAAGAAATTGAAGGAAAACAATTAAAGCAAGTCTTGCATTTTCGGTTCAGTTTTGAACCGAGATTTTCCGAAGTTGACAATTGAGTCTCTTTCTCGCTCCGCCCCTCCGTGCTACGTCATGTAATGTACACTATAGTGGATCGATACTATATGACAAGGAAAGACAGACTTGGAGCAAGTCTATCGTTGTACATGCAGTGTGACCGCCCACGCGGGCCTTAAATCGGCCTATAGGCTTTACACAGTTGATCATCTGTCATTCAAAGGCTTTTGGAAATTATTGGAATGGGGCGGGACCCACGCCCCTAGTGTCCATCACTGGTGCTTATTACAAAGTTTTAACAGAATCTTCGTTTCTATATAGCGATGGCCAAGGTCGAAGTGGAACTTTTGCCGCTTTGTGTTCAGTGTTAGAAAGAGTAAAGACAGAACAGGTTGTTGATGTTTTCCAAACTGTTAAAGCATTACGTATCCAAAGACCTGGCCTCGTCAAGGATGTGGTATGTTATGAAATATTGCCGTTTGTTATAAGCTAATGTCGACGCCTTCTTAGTCGGAATAAAACTGCAGTTGAATTATCAATTCATAAAACGTAGCTGAGGTTTGAAGAATTCCAATTAAGTACAAATCCTTTGTTCAAACAGTTATCTTGTTTTTTTCTCTCGACGGTGATCATTTTCCAAAACATACAATTTACTCGTTACAATTGTTGAAATCAAATTTACATTAAGGCGCTTTTACATGGTTATAACGAGTAATGAGTTCTTTGTATGTTTGCATGGCGATAAAACATATAACACTTTTGTTTGTGGAACTGACCACGTAAATTTATTACGTGGTGTTTCCACAAACAAAAGTGTTATATGTTTTATGGTTTTATCGCTATGCAAACCTACGAAGAACTTATTACTCGTTATAATAACGATGTACAAAGAACTTATTACTCGTTATAACGATATAAAAGCGCCTTAATGTTTATTTAGACCTAAAATTTGATTTCAACAAGTGTTTTCACCATAGCGGTGCCAGCAATTACGGAAGGGTATACATCACTGTCGAAAAATCCCATAATTTGCCAAAAAATTTACTTAATTTTAGACAAAATTGACAGAATTTGTCCCATTTTTTTTATTGCAAACCAAAATTGCCCGACTGTTGATCGAATATTGCCCGACTGCCCAAAAAACTGGGGGGCGGTAGCCCCCCCCCCCCCCCCCGCCCGGTACGCCTATGAGACTAATGTTCCTCCGTGCGAGCTCCGAGTGCATAGATCAGATAGATCAGGCATTACTGCATGAGGTGTACATACTGCATGTGTACTTAAGTCTGTTAAAGTATTTATACTGACCACCGTTGAATTCTCTCTGTTTAGGACCAATATCAGTTTATTCACTTTGGAGTTCAGGACTATTTGGACAGTTTTGCAGATTATGCCAATTTCAAATGAGCAACAATCACAATATCAATAAAGTGTGCACCTTAATTAACAAGAGTGCAGTACGAAATAATTGGGTAAAATGTATTCATTATATTACTTGGTTTGTAAATGTAAAGAATTAGTGTAGTATACAATATTTTACCAACACTTTTAGTTTAGAAATATTTGAAATAAATATATACATATAACTGATTTGTTTTCCTACATTTTTCTACAGTATAAACAGGCGGTTATGTTGAGGCTTAATTGATTGTACGTATATCATCTTACCAACTACATTCAAAGATTGCCTGTCATGCATTAATGTGGGAAAATAAGTCTATACTGCTATAGATACTAGATAGGTCATATTATTAAAGTAGTTGCTAGCCTAGCTTGTATATAAAAAATGATCTAAAAATAATGCAATAATTTCTTATTAAATTTTTAAAAATAATTAATTCTGTTGGATGTTGGGTTGGTACGGAGCACAGAGCCGGTGTTTGGGTAGTCTGCGAACCCAGACGTCATTTCCCGGCACGCTCAGTTTTCGCTCGGAAAGTAACGAGCGTGGGAAATGACGTCTGGGTTAGCAGACTAGTGTTTGGGGGTGAAGTTACAAATTCGCGGAACGTTTTTTAGTTGTGCTGTTTATGTTTGTTTTTTTTAATTCAGAATCTTCTCAGCCGAAGAAATTGATGATTCCAGCTAAAGACTAAATATTGATCTCGGCAAGAAGAACAAAATCTATCACGACGGCTAGAAAGAGCATGTTAAAATTAGTAAAATTGCAAAGTTTGGTTGCGAAATGTTGTAAAATGCGGAAAATATAGCCCTGCGAAATTTGCAAATTTTGTATTAATTTCTATTACGCGCGGGAAAATGCACCACTTTCGGCCCAAAGCCCCAAATGTTTGCAATTTTACTATGTTTAACGTGCTCTTTCTAGCTGTGGTGATAGATTTTGTTCTTCTTGCCGGGGAGCGTAGGAAGCATCAAAAGATTGGGGGGGGGACACCGGCTTTTAGGGGCACTTTAGGGTATTGAAAAGGGCACCTAAAAAATTTTTCCCGGAAATGTTGGCGACCGGGGGAGGGAAGAAGAAAAATTTTTCCGTCGTACCATACCGAAATTCCACGTTTTTGACCCAATTTTTTTAAAAAACTTGGAAATTTCCAAACAAAAGGGCACCTTTGATGTTAATTTAGTATTTACAGCAACATTAGCTTGTACAAAAAGAGCACTTTTCATCACAAAAAAGGGCACTTTTAGTCCTTTGAAAAAATTTGGGGCCACGTGCCCCCCGTGCCCCCCGTGCCCCCTGGTTCCTACGCCCCTGTTCTTGTCTAGATCAAAATTTAGTTTATAGCTGGAATCATCTATTGAGAAAACAAAGGCTCGAAAAACACTAAAAAACAACAAAAGTGGCGAGTTTTGAAAGAATATATAAAAGAGAAGAGAATGCCAAGTATATGCCAATATTGCCATGCAACCTCGTTACGAGGTTGAACTGGAGCTTTTCCCGCGAATTTGCTGCTTTTCTATTGGTTTGTATTTTAAACCAATCAAGTTATGTATTCTTGAATTTTAACCAATCAACTCGTTGTAAAATCATGCGCATTATGTGCTCGTTATTGTCTAGCGCTTTACCTCGAGCACACTTGACTGTATGTATGTAAAACTTTATTTCAATACGCTAACTTCGACAATTATTTACAACTGGTTTCCACGAAGGGCGTATACACACAAAGAGCTAAATGTTAATTATATATAAAACAAAGTATGTAAGAATCCCACCCTAAAATTTTATCATCTTCCTCCCAAACCTCCACCCCCTAAACAAGTACCCACCCACCCTCACGCAAAACTAACCCCCCTCCCGCCCACAATCTATATTGTCCTCCCATCATTTGGTCCCGGAGAAATTAGCTTATCATCTGCTTAAATGCAATTTCGCCATTGTTTTAAATGACGTAATTGACTCAGCCGCCTTGACATCTTGCGGGAGACTATTCCATAGAATTGCTCCACTGTATCCAAATGTTTTCTTTAGAAATTCCGTTTTCGGTTTTTTTAACGAGAGATCAGTTTCGCTATTGCGTAAATCATAAATATTCTGCGATGCATTTCTCCGAGAAAAAAGATCTTTAAGGTTTGGCGCAGTGTGGTTCCCCAAGACTTTATATATCAATACTAGCTTGTTTTGTTCTCGTCTCCTAGCCAGGGTTTCCCAGCCTAATTTGTTTAGGACTTCAGACGATCTTACATCGTAGTCAGCTCCGGTAATCACCCTTGCTGCTCGATTTTGGAATTTTTGCAATTTGTCTTGAAGTCCAAAACCACAGTTATCCCATAAGGGAGAACAGTAATCAAAATGAGGCTGAATTAATGTTTTGTAGACATCATGTAAGGTTTTGTGTGGAACATAAGGTTTTATTCTTTTAATTGCTCCTATTCCAGCGCTAATCTTATGGCATACAGAATCAATATGTTTCTCCCAACTTCATTTTTCATCTAGATTTACACCTAGACATTTAAATGTATTGGTTTGTGGGACTGGGATTTTGTTAATCTCAACGGCTCTATTTCCTATTTTATGATTTAGATTATGCGTAGATCCAATAAACATGACTTTTGTTTTTTTCCTATGATATTTTAG